TTCTTCATGTGTTCAATACTTTTTCCCTGTGCCATTCCACATTATTACAAATAATTTCATTTCCGGACATTGTATGTATGGATCACTTGGGTTGTTACCGACATCTGGTGAAAATTTCATGTCATTAGCACCTCTAGTAATATATTTACTGAGAAAAATGGTGGCATGTTCAATACTTATTTTACCCGCTGTAAATTATACAGAAAAAAAATAAACACTTTCTTTGGTGGAACAGAGAGCAAATTGCAGAGCTGAATTTGCAAAGCTGCTTTAGCATGTAATGTTGCTAGGTGTTGAAATACAGTATATGCACATGCTCAGTAACAATAGATAAATACAATTTTGCTAAACTAAATCAGTTAGTATCACATCATCGTGTGCCAATATGCATTTGCCCCTGTGCAACAGAAATGTTCCTCGACAGGAAGTCAGTTACTGTATGGAAAGTTGTAAATTTGTTTGTGTTTTTTTTAAGCACAGCTCTGAATCCTTTTGAAAACCACTTCCTGTACCCAAACCCTGGTGGAGGAACATTTAAGTGGGTATGTTTCTGCAGGTGCAAACTACATCAAACTGCAAGAACACAAGACGGTTCACTGTATGCTTTTAAAGAACAAGAAAATCAGAAAACCAGGGACCAACAATGATGATCTCCATCCATTTCACCATACTCTTCTTTTGGGCGACACAAGGTCAAACAGAAACCTGAATAGAAAAATCCTGTTATATGAGATAATGGTTTGATTTTTTTAAGTTAAATATCTTGTTCTCTCTTTACAGATTTTGTGAGTTCTACTAAGGAAAACACACACGTTGATCACTTGCATGTAAAATTGGGCAGCAGTCTCAAATTGGCCTGCACCTACAACTGCTCATCGGGATTTATTCGTGGATGTTGGAGCAAAACGCTGGACAGCCCGGGCTGCCACGGAACAATTAGCAATGGCAGTTTTTGCACTGTGATACTCAGTCTATTAAACGTGTCTGCTGAAGATGTAAAGAAGAATTACACCTGCTACACCGAAGACACAGACGACCCTAACTTGCCAAAAAACACAGTGAAGATTGTTTTCCTTCAGGTTCAAGGTAGTAAATATTAGAAGAAGGAAAAAAGTAATATTCAGATGTCATCCCAAGGAGTTTCTTCTGGAAGTAAATTTTTGCTTTGTTTTACAGATCAAAAAAATACTCCAAGCTGGACAGTAACCCAAAAAGTTGTACCAAAAAATGGTAAGGAATTCATTAATTTAACTTTTTTAGTCTTTTTATGTATTTTTGATTCAGCAGCCAATCCAATGGATTTTTAGAAGTGATCATATCCCTTTTAAGTTATTGTTGTAACATTGGTCATTTGTTTTAATCTCCTCTCCATTTTCTTAGCATCTCTTCCTGTTGAACCAGGGAATTCAAGTGGAGGTGAGATTATTTACAGAACCCAAAACATAAAATATTCCCTTCCTGTCTGCTTCAGTCTATCTTAATGCAACATTTTCTGGGTTGACAGGAGAATATACTGGGATCAAGGTTTTGGCTGCAGTTACTGTTACGGTGGCRGTGGTCCTTGCTGCTTTGGCTATATTCTTGTGTGTGAACAGAAACAGGCAGAACTGGAATGGTAAAGGTGATTAAAATATATCATTAAACCATATTTGGGGTTTCACATACTGAAAAATAGATACAAGTGTATTTATGTAACGTGGTTTAAAAATGTAATCTATTCCAGGAGATCCAATTGTGTCCAGATCATGGTGAGTATAATTAAAATTCATTTCTTTTCAGTGACATTTAATTTAATTTAATTTAACGTTCATGCCTTGCAAACTATTTTGTTGACTATTTCTTGTGTTTTAAACCATTTAAGCTCTCCACAACCAAATAACTTTGCCCTTCTACCAGTAAAAGGTAAATGATTTAAAGATGTAAATGAAAAAAATAAAAATCTCCTCTTTCAAATGCAATCCTCCAATTCTCACTTGTCATTTTTTATCAGGAACATTGTCAACACACAGTGAAAAAGTGACTTTGCGGCTTCCTCAACCTGGTAAGATGTGRGCTCCGATATGTGAGCAGCTAAGAATCAAAGCTGTCAACAAAATGGCTGACAATTACTCACAAATTGTGCTGCATTTTGGTTCCAGATAATGAGAGCGATACTGAAGTCCCTTATGCTGACATTATGATCACCGTTCGAGGGGTCAGCACACCTGAGCTCACTCAGGTTGGCTACTTAGGAACTGGAGAGGTAAGAAAAGGACAAGACAAAGACAAACTCAACAACTAATTTAGTGTAGTTTATCTTCGACAACAATAGATTTGTGCTCTCAAAAAGACAAACCTACAACATGATTAAAGCTGGAACAAAAACACTTTATTATGATGACCTGCAGGTCTAATCTGTGCACACTGGTTTTCACAAAACTGTTCTTTGCACAGTGCCCTGAGACATTTGTTGTGACTTGGCACTATATAAACTGATTTTAATTGATTTAAGGTCTGTATAAAAATAAAGTGTGCCCTATAGTTTTTAAATGTTAGAATTAAATTCCATTGTGACATATTGCTGGTATATATGCCTCCATGGTTTTTAAAAACACATTTAATAACAGAAGCTTGCTATTTATAGTCATCAGGATTAAGTCTGCTCTTTTTCATGATCCTGAACTGCCTTTTTCTCTGAGCATATGACATTAGTTTTTTTTTTAATTTATTTATTTWTTCGCTGTTCCATGCCTAGTGGCGAGGAGATGAATTTAGATCTCACCTTCAGGCCTCACGTTCAGCTGACAGATTGCACGTCCCTCAGCCCAGAGAGGTCAGCCGCAAGATGAGCACCAACTCTGAGTATGCAGTCATCACATATGCCTGACTGTAACTTCATGAAGACAAGAAGGAAGAAAACGTCCTGCTGTACAAGCTAAAAAAAAGAAAAGAAAAAATTTAAATGTAAATGTTTATATTATTCTCATTTTTTCTGTACCTACTGTACATAATAAACTTTTTTTTTCATTTATTCAAGCCAATGTTTCCTTGTGATTGTATGACGTTTGACCCTTCCGCGTACCCGTAGTAAAATCGTTGCTTAGAAACAAGCATCAACAAAGTAGAGTGCACTGCGGCTAGCTGTTTGCAAACCTTAAAAAGTGGCTTAAAGTCAGCTGGGGGAAAAAAATTCAGGTAAGAAACGTTGCTAACTTTTGTTTTTCTTTCTGTGTGTCTCACACAATAAGCACTGAAGTAGTTTKAGAGGTGTGAGAGACGGTAAAATTTAACTTGACTCAAATTCCGTTCAGAAACACGGATAGATTTATTGTGGAAACACGTATACTACTTTTCCCCTCCTCAAGATATACGTTGGAATTGGAGATACGTCCCCAGAAAATGTCCTTTTCAAACACTCACCTTCGGGTCCCTCGAGGTTTCAGTTCCGTCTTAGAGGGTCTGGCCCGAGAGGTCCTYCGAGACCAGCCTGAGGACATCCCTGCATATGCTGTGCGATATTTCGACGCTCTTTTGAAACAAAGAGAAGGTAACCGGAACTTCAAAMTCAACAAAATAAAACAAAAAACAAATGCTGGAGCGTCACTTTTGTTTCCTTGCAGAAAGTGGTGTGGACCCTGCTGAGTGGGCTGCCAAGCTGGAAGATAGATACAACTATGACTTTCAGAATACGGGGGTAACTTGACCTGTAGGCTTATTATATTTAATTCACTGCTCTAATTCCTCTCTGATTTTAATGGTTCATTCTGTACATCCACAGACTAGTCCTGATAAGGAAACAGCATCAGAGAAAACCATTTCCAAGTGAGTCCCATTTTGTAATGCAGCCAAAAAGCATCACAAGAAGAGGGAGAGGAAGAACATGAGGGAAAGGACAGGAAAAGAAACTCAGATTAAATAAAATTACACTGTTCACACGTTTATTATTAAAAATAAACCAGGGTTTATTTTTTGATATAT